AGAGAAGCTGATATGAACTTATGTTGACACAATATTGTTTTTGACTTGAGCAGTGTTTGTTCTGTGTCAGAGTGCTGAGATTTTATTGCGGTAGATGGTTAATAGGCGTCACCATCTGGTTATGATTTTGTTGATCCATTTTAAGTTCAAACAGACATCAAAAAGTGAGGAAAAATCATCTTATGATGGTTTCACCGACAAAAACTTGCTAATCATTGGCATCGACATCATTTCTATGGTTTATTTTTATGTTTTACTATGGTTTTTGTATGGTTTATATTAGGGGTGTGCGATATGACGATTTTTAATCGTGGACGATTAAAATGTCTCCACGATCTGCTTTTGAAGAAATATCGTAGTATCGTGTTACAGTGCATTCTATCAGTTCAGTTCTGGCGCCTCCGTCTCTCAACTGTACAACGCGGCGTAGCCTACACATGATCACACGTTAATGAATAGGTACGGGACACTGCAATTCACAAAAGTTCATTATTTGCATAAGCCTTGCCGGTTAAACATTTAATTCACGCGCTGATGCGCTGTTCTAACGTGCGCTTTCCTGACCGCATAACCCCCGACGCTCACAGGCACTAGAAGCCTGTCAAACAGCGCCTGAATACTGGACTAAGTTATCTCTCGAGTCTTATTAAGCTAATACTGTTAAATACACACAATGTTTACATAAACAGGCTATGTCTAAAGTGAAAGCAAACATTTGAGAGAATATCTGGTGTAATATGCGTCTATATTAAACGCGTCGCGTGCTGGTCTAAAAGCAACAGGAATAAATAGTAGCCTACTGCCGCTTGTCCTTAAAGGGATAGTTCACAAAAAAAAAAATCCGTCATTATTTACTCACTCTAATGTAATGTTGTTCCAAACCTGTATTAATTTCTTTCTTGTGCTGAACACAAAAGACAATTTTTTTTTAATGTGGGTAACCAAACAGTTGCTGGTCCCCATTAACTTCCAGGAGAGAACCTATAAAAAAAAAAACTATAAGGAGACCAGCAACTGTTCGGTGACCCACATTATTCAAAATAACTTTTATTTTCAACAGAAGAAAGAAACTTATTCGGGTTTAAAACATCTTGAGAGAGTAAATTAAGACAATTTTCATTTTTGAGGGAACTATCCCTTTAGTGTTAATAAAACAAAAAAACACAAGGAGAAAATCACTCACTGACTGAGAACTTTAATATATCTTTGATAAGAATCAATTTATTCAGTGAAGTCTATGTAGTGTTTTAATTTCATATTTGTTCATTTAATAACTTCAATGCTACTGCTAAATACACCTACTGCATCTGAAAAAATAAAGCACTATTTATTTAATATGAATATTATTCGTGTAATGTTTATCTTGTCTTATTTTTTTAATAACAAAGAAAATAATGACAAAGATTTTGTATCTTCGCCACTGGCCTAAATGTGTGGCTTTCTTTTTTCTTTTGTTACCTAAGCTTTGTTTTTAACATTGGGACATTAGTTTGGCTGTAATGAACAGCCACTTGCAAAATATTAAAACCAACTTGAAAAAGAATCGTGATAAAAAATCGTGATCGTGATTTTCCTAAAAAAATCGTGATATGATATTTTTTCCATATCGCCCACCCCTAGTTTATATTCTTTAAAACCATTTTTTCTGGTGTTGTAGTAGCTGTGATGGATGTATGTAGGCAAATGACTGTGATATCATCTCTTTCTCTCGCTAAGATGTGATTTTCTCCATATTATTAGACCAAGAGGTTTAAAGAGATGTTAGTGTTGGATTTTAACATCACATTGATGGGCGTTGATGTGTCTACTGTATGTATGACATTGGACTATAACACAAATGATAAGAAGTCTATTGTTTTTCCTCTAATTAAATGTGGATGTCGTTAGTGACCAGTGTGTTACAGGAAGTGATGCCATCCATGTTGGATCACTTTGTACAGTTCTACCCTGTTGAAAAGACCAGATCAGGGGTGCGTTTCCCGAAAGCATCGTTAGCCAACTATGGTCGCAAGTTCCGTCATTATCAGCATACTTCAACGAGTCGGTGTTTCCCGAAACCATCGTTCCAACGAACATTCGCAAACAGCATCGCAAAGTTGTGTGGTTTGAACGACAGCTCTCGACCTGTGGTTAGAGGCATCGTTTCTATATTGCAACACATTTGGACGTAATAAATCCTTATCTTGAGCAAAATGAGCAAGCTGACATTCAGTATGCCTTTTATTTAGAATACATACAAGTGTAATTTACGTCTTTTCGTTTTTCAAAAGATTCGAAGAGTGCGCATGTGCGAACGTGCTCTACTATGTTAGAACGTGGCAAATATTAAGTCTGGTAATAAAGCAAAATAACTGAGAACAATTAGAAATAGTCCTCATGTCTGTAATTTATATATATAAAAATCTAGCGTTAATTGGATCGCAAACAGTTTCATTAAAAGTAGTTATTACTCCACCACGTGCGAAATAACGTGGCTGAACGATACTTTGCGACAGTGGGTTTCGGGAAACAGTCGTGACTAGCTAGTTGATTTCTCCAACGATGCATCGTACTATGGTAGTGAAGCAGTGAACTACATAGTTGTATGGGAAATGCACCCCAGACTTATAAATTTCAAGTATGCTGGTTGGAGCTGCGAATGATGGATGACGAAGATGTTTTTTATTGTTAAGCTGGTTGTGGACACCAGAATGCCATGTTAAAAAACATCATCCATAAAAATAAAGATACACATGCTGGTGATAATGCTGGTCTTATCAGTAGGATAGTGCTGATTTACCTGGATACTCTAGTTTACACTACTGTTAAAGAGTTTGGGGTCAGTAAGAATAAGAAATTATGACTTTTATTCAGCAAGGTTGCATTAAATTGATAAAAAAAGTGACATATAGTTACAAAAGACTCTATTTCAAATATATGGTGTTTATTGAACTTTCTATTCAACACAAAATGAAATAAATGTATCAAGGTTCCACAAAAATAACGGTTTTCAAGATTGATAATAATAAGAAATGTTTCTTGAGCATCAAATCATCATATTAGAATGATTTTTGGATCATGTGACACTGAAGACTGGAGTAATGATGCGGAAAATTCAGCTTTACATCACAGGAATAAATTACATTTTAAAATAAAAAAAATATTATATTTTAAATAGGGCTGGGCAACGATTAATCGCGATTAATCTCATCCAAAATAAAAGTTTGTGCTTACATAATATATGTGTGCGTAGTGTGTATAATTATCAATATTTTGTATATATAAATACACACACATGTATTTATATATTTAAGAAAAATGTGTTCTTAATATATCAAATATTTATATTTATACATAATATTATTAATTAAAGTATATACATGCAAATAATTCTTAAATATATACATATATATACAAAATAATTATAGACACTACTCGCACATATATTATGTAAACACAAACTTTTATTTTGGATGCAATTAATCGCGATTAATCGTTTCACAGCCCTAATTTTAAATTGTAATTACGTTTTACAAAATGACTGTTTTAACTGTATTTACTATCAAATGATGTGCAAAACAGAAATCTTACTGACCCAAACTTTTGAACGGTAGTTTATCTAAACATTTACCTACTTTGGTCAGCGTTCATATGCCTAAAACTTAGTCACCTTGTTAGCATTGTGTGGTAATTTACTGTACATCTTAAATGTACGATCATCTTACATGATCACAAGTCGATGCAAGAGTGCCCGGCCTCCTCCCGCAAGAGCTCCAGCTGTGCGCCCCGTCCCGCCGTCACTCACGGGGTCAGTATGAACGCTCTGCTCTCTGTGTTGCGTTCTGCAGGCAGATGCTCGGCCTCCACGGTCAACCTGCCGCGGCAGACGGAGCCTGTGATTAACAACAGGCTGTCCAAGTCCTCGGCCACGCTCTGGAACTCGCCCTGCAGAAGTAAGAACGGAGCGGCTCCCGCGTTTCACCTCCCTCCAAACCCTCCGTCTGGTTTTTTTTTTTTTTTTTTTTTTTTTTTTTTGGTTCTTCAGTTGTGTTTTCTCATGAACTACTTTTGATTTGCTCATTTCTGGTGGCCTGCTTGCCTGTGCCTGTGCCTGGTGATCTGATCGATGGTCATTCTCACACCGTTCTTATTCACTTCCCCACCCCACAACCCCCTGTTCTTGTGTTGCATCGTGGGTAATCTCTACTTCCGTGCACTTTTTGATCAGCGCTCACATTGTTGCATCATAGTCTGTGATGGTTATTTATTTGTGGTCCAGTAAGTGGTGGAAATATCTATTTTTGTTTCAGTTCTTTCTTATTTTTGTGTTCCAGTCATCATTTTCAGTCTGTGGTGTGGGTCGTGGTGCTGGTGGTGGGTTTCTTAACCTGAGTGTGTGATTTGAAAGGCTGATTATTTATCAGTGTTCATAAAACATAATATAATATGTGCTAATTTAACTGACTAATCTGATCTTAATCAGTTTGATGCGGATTGACCGATTTATATAAATAAGTGATGCTGTGCAATAGTTAAGTATTCGTAAAATGTATCTGGCTGTGTTCAGATTGTAATACTTGCATACTGCTTACTGTATAGTATACACAGTAAATTTGAAATCCGGAAATCAACACCAATAGAGTTAATTTCAACACTTTAAAAGTGTATATTTGGGAACCACCCACAAAGTGTTACTTCAACACTTTCAAAAGTGTTGCCTCTCTCAACACCGACACAGTGTTACAATTCGAACACTAAGAGAGTGGAATTTTAACACCAATGCAGATAACAACAACACTGCCAGTGTTTACTTTTTCAACCTTATAGTAGTCAAATTACACCATCCTGGTGTTAATAGAACACATTTTTACAAATAAAAACACCAAAGAAGTTACCAGTTTTTCTTATTAGGGTTATGCATTACCTACTGTACTTAAATGATTTGTCAGTTTATTTTCTTCAGTTCTTTAAATCTGAAAAGAATAATTTCACTTTGAAAAACACATAACTCTTTATTACTCTTTCAAAACTTTATTTCAAAACAATCCAGAAAGTATGGGATCATAGTAGAATTCAGTTCATTGTAAAGTTGAAAATAAAGGCAAATGTAAACAGTTGTTTCAAGCAAACTATTTTTTTTATTACCGAACAAACACGTTTACATCATAGGTTAACTTTTAAAATAAACGATGAATGCACTGTAATCAGAATTATATATTGTGATCAAATGGTGTCCTGAACATATCAGTGAATGTGAGTCCTGTGTCAGTGAAGTTGATTCAGTACCTTTGACTTTGCAACAGTACAGCAGTGCTTGAGTCAAAAACATTCAGCAGATGAAGAACAGTAGCAGGATATGAGTGGATCAGTTGTGTGTCTCCAGTCACTAACAGTAAAGTTCAGTGCATAGTTGTTTCACAGAGCAGCAAAAGCTGTGTAGATCCAACTTTCTCGAAAAATCCTGTAGGACTGGGTACCTAGACAACACAAAACCAGATCAATTACAATTAATACCATTTGTGTTTCATAAATACAGCAGGTTTATGGTGAAAAAAGTTCAATCATCGACTCAAACAAGAAACCATTTTGGTTAGATTAAGACTTGCATTTATTGATTTCCAAGTAAATTGAAGATTTAATTCATCCAAAAAATTTAATTCTGTCATTAATTATTCACCCTTGTTGTTCCAAACCAGTAAGAGTTTTGCTCATCTTGGGAACACTTAAAGGGATAGTTCACCCAAAAATGAAAATTCTAGCACTAATTACTCAACCCTCGTGTTGTTCCAACTCGGTAAGACTTTCCTTCATCTTCGGGAGACAAATGAATGATATTGTTGATTAAATCTGAGAGCTGGATCACTCCTGCAAAGCCTTTTAAGGGATTGAAACTTGGCAGCCAATAAAAGTTATTAAAGACATTGTTAAAATAGTCAGAGTGACTACAGTGGCTCAGGTTTATCAAGTGACGAGAATACTTTTTGTGCGCAAAAAACAAACTAAAAATATTACAATCAACTATTCATTTTCTTCTGTGTGGGCCTGAGCAAGTTAACAGTGTAACAGTGCAGCGCTACTGTGTTGTACGTCACACACACACGACCAGCGTCAGCCAATAGTGAGCCTGTGTGTGACGTACAACACCGAGGCGCTGCGCTGTTACACTACGAGAAGCCCATCTCGAGGCCCACAGAGAAGGAAATGCATAGTTGAATAAAGTCGTAATTTCTGTTTGTTTTTTTGCGCACACAAAGCATTCTCGTTTGGATTGGATTTAGGATTGCGCTTCTGTAATCAACAATATCTTTAATGACTTTCTGGGCCAGCAAGTTTTGATCCCTTAGAAGCCTATGGAGGAGTGATCCAGCTCACAGATTTAATCAAAAATATCTTAATTTGTGTTCCGAAGATGAATGAGTCTTGCGAGGTTGGAACAACATGAGGGTGAGTAATTACTGACAGAATTGACATTTTGGGTGAACAGTCCCTTTAATAAAGATATTTTTAATGAAATCTAAGAGAATTCTGTCCATTCATCTAAAGCCTATTCAACGACCACTTCAAAAACCACGGAAAGGTATAAAGGAAATCAAAAGTAATCCATGTGACTCTAGTGGTTTAACCTCAACCTTTTTGACAATTTTAACTCAACTTTATTTACAAAATATTAATCTTCAATGCACATACATGCACATCAACAACAAGCACGAGTTGTAACTTTGTCATGAACGCATGTTGGAAATAAATATTTAATAAATTAAGCTGTAAATCTGTTTTTGCTGTAATCACAGCACTTGCATAGTTTAATAAACATTTATGTTAAACCACTGGAGTTGCATGGAGTACTTTAATGATGTACTTTTGTCTGGGGCTTGAAAGTGGTAGTTGTGTAGATTGTCAATGGAGGGACAGGAAGCTCTCCGATTTCATTAAAAATATGTTTGTTTGTGTTGTGAACATGAAAAAGTCTCACTTGTTTGGAAAGACATGAGGGTGAGTAATTAATAACAGAATTTCCATTTGTGGGTGAACTAACACTTTAAGAAAAAATAAAGACACGCACCTTAAGAAATCTCACTAAATTGTCAGCCGTCGGATTCCGGAAGGATCGGTGTTCCCGTCTTGTGGCTTTGTATGTTGGGGGCAGGTGATGGGCAGAGATTTTCCAATCAGTTGAGTCTAAAATTAAACAGCAAGAAAACATCTTGTCAAATCATGAAAACCATTGGTTCGAAATCTTATTTTAAGTATATATATATATAGGGGTGTGCGATATGACGATTTTTAATCGTGGACGATTAAAATGTCTCCACGATCTGCTTTTGAAGAAATATCGTAGTATCGTGTTACAGTGCATTCTATCAGTTCAGTTCTGGCGCCTCCGTCTCTCAACTGTACAACGCGGCGTAGCCTACACATGATCACACGTTAATGAATAGGTACGGGACACTGCAATTCACAAAAGTTCATTATTTGCATAAGCCTTGCCGGTTAAACATTTAATTCACGCGCTGATGCGCTGTTCTAACGTGCGCTTTCCTGACCGCATAACCCCCGACGCTCACAGGCACTAGAAGCCTGTCAAACAGCGCCTGAATACTGGACTAAGTTATCTCTCGAGTCTTATTAAGCTAATACTGTTAAATACACACAATGTTTACATAAACAGGCTATGTCTAAAGTGAAAGCAAACATTTGAGAGAATATCTGGTGTAATATGCGTCTATATTAAACGCGTCGCGTGCTGGTCTAAAAGCAACAGGAATAAATAGTAGCCTACTGCCGCTTGTCCTTAAAGGGATAGTTCACAAAAAAAAAAATCCGTCATTATTTACTCACTCTAATGTAATGTTGTTCCAAACCTGTATTAATTTCTTTCTTGTGCTGAACACAAAAGACAATTTTTTTTTTAATGTGGGTAACCAAACAGTTGCTGGTCCCCATTAACTTCCAGGAGAGAACCTATAAAAAAAAAAACTATAAGGAGACCAGCAACTGTTCGGTTACCCACATTATTCAAAATAACTTTTATTTTCAACAGAAGAAAGAAACTTATTCGGGTTTAAAACATCTTGAGAGAGTAAATTAAGACAATTTTCATTTTTGAGGGAACTATCCCTTTAGTGTTAATAAAACAAAAAACACAAGGAGAAAATCACTCACTGACTGAGAACTTTAATATATCTTTGATAAGAATCAATTTATTCAGTGAAGTCTATGTAGTGTTTTAATTTCATATTTGTTCATTTAATAACTTCAATGCTACTGCTAAATACACCTACTGCATCTGAAAAAATAAAGCACTATTTATTTAATATGAATATTATTCGTGTAATGTTTATCTTGTCTTATTTTTTTAATAACAAAGAAAATAATGACAAAGATTTTGTATCTTCGCCACTGGCCTAAATGTGTGGCTTTCTTTTTTCTTTTGTTACCTAAGCTTTGTTTTTAACATTGGGACATTAGTTTGGCTGTAATGAACAGCCACTTGCAAAATATTAAAACCAACTTGAAAAAGAATCGTGATAAAAAATCGTGATCGTGATTTTCCTAAAAAAATCGTGATATGATATTTTTTCCATATCGCCCACCCCTATATATATATATATATATATATATATATATATATATATATATATATATATACTAAATTTACTTTTGTAAATGAATTTGACTGGACAAATTCAAAATGAGTGTTATAAAACAAAGAAAATCTAGCTATACCAAATAACAACCAAGCTATGATTATTTTTTGTTTGTGCCCATGATTCTCTCATATGTTTACTTATCTGTTCTCTTTCCATCACCAGGTTCTAGTCTGTACAGTCTTTAAACACCAAGCCTGGTACCCTTAGTCACTTCATAGAAATCATAGTGCATCATAGAAATGCTCCTAGCAAACACAAATTGTAAAAATCAATACATTTAAACATTAAAGCATCTCCAAATATCAACCAAAAGTTAATCTGATAAATACATTTTGCATCAATATTTAATTTGAAATAATTGCAATTTGCTTACCCATTCTAAAAAGATTGGTCCTCCAAATAAGGAAATAAAGTGCAAATTCCACGTGCATTGTTGGTCCGCAGTTTGTGGAGTTGTTCTTCTGTTTTATACGTTAACGTTAGGTCTGCTGGCAGACGAGAGTAAAAGATAGTTTTAGGATAAATCCTTTATGATATTTGCACATCACACATATCGTCATAAACAATATAATATTATAAAACACGTATAGTAAATGAGTTAAACACTTACTTAATCGGTGTTTTTATTGTTAAAAGCAAACTCCGTGTCTGCACTTTGCACTGCTTTTTGAAATGCGTCACGAGCAGGTCACGAGTCAAAGAAGATGCAGGACCTAGACTGTGAGAGGTTTAGGCGCGCACATCACATAAATATCGTTACAAAACAATATAATGCCATGAAATTCATGTGGTAAATTATGTTAAAAACACTTACTTTAGGTGTTTCCCTGTTAACGTTAGCTACAAGCCTCCTCCTCGTCAGCTCCGTGTTTCAAAGATGATGTCGTCTTTGAAAAGAATTTCGACCGTTTAATCGCGCAGAACATTTAAATATCGCTTTGAATCAATGTGTTATAAAATATATTGGCTATGTGAATTAGAAAACACTTACTTTCGTTGTTTCCCTGTTAAAAAGCAAACCCATCCTGGTCTGCTCCGCATCGCGCGTCATAGAAAATACCCCTTCTGAGAGCGGTTTGCTCGTCCACAGCACATACATATTGTTATAAAACAATATGGTGTTATAAAATGAATATATAAATGCGATTTAACGCATAATAAATGCGTGTTTCCTCCTCGCATGTCTTGCGACTCGAGTCAAAGAAAATGGCGCCTGTGAAGAAAGTTTCAACTTGTTTCGTCCCGCCCAGCGCGTAAATGTCCCGGATGTGACTAGTAACACTCTCGGTGTTCTCAAAGCATCTCTGGTGTATAACTCCACATATTTTCACCAGCCAGAGAGTGTGGTTTACACTAGCAGTGTTAATCCCTTGAAATTCAACACCAGAAAATTAACACTTTACTCTAAAAGTCCTTAACACCAGGATTTCAACACTGGAGATTTTACTGTGTACTGTTCATTATATACTATACTAAGGATGGGAAAGTAACAGAATTTTATTTATTACTTATTTCAAATTCACTTAATGCTTCTGGCTTATGTTTTTTTATATGTGTGTTTTTATTTTTTTTACTAATTGTTCCCTCATTTTGCTCATCATGTCCACATTGTAATATTTCGTTCCCTTGTTATAGTTGAATCAAAGTGAGGAAAGGAATTAATTCAACATGGCCATGATTTACTAAGAGGAGGGAACAAATTAATAAGTTGTGGAAATAAACACTAAATTAGTGGCCACGATATGTATATATATATATATATTTGTCCTCATGTAATAGGCTCTCCAAGGCTGCATTTATTTGATCAAAAATACAGTAAAAACAATGTTGTAAAATATTGCTACAATTTAAAATGTGTTTTCTATTTGAATATATTTTTAAATAATTTTTAAATAATTAAATCCTGTGATTGCGAAGCTGAATTTTAAGCAGACATTAATACAGTGCTGTTTACTGTAATATTTTTTGGAAACTGAGAATTTTTTTCAGGATACTTTGATGAATAGAAAGTTCAAAAGAACAGCGTTTACATTTTTTGTAACATTATAAATGTTTTTTACTGATCAATTTAATGCATCCTTGCATTATTTTTTTTTAAATCCCAAACTTTTGAATGCTATATATATATGAAAAGTTCAGCTGCAAAAGCCTCTAAATGCCATTTGAAATTTTCTTCTTTAATGATGATTTTTATCAAACTTGTATATTTAAGTTCAGTAATTTCACTTAAATAACAATTAATTGGTAATTATCATTGCCATTTAAGTGAAATCACTGAACTTAAATATACAAGCTTGATAAAAATGATCATTCTAGAAGAAAATTTCAAATGGCACTTAGAGGCTTTTGCATCTGAACTCTTCATATATACTAAAGAAATATGTTAAGTATAGTGTTTAGTATGAGGAAACACTAATCAAGTTAGTGCAATCAACATCTGAACACATCATTCAGTTCTTCTATATATTTATTTAAATATTTATGATTCTGGTTAAGAACTGTTTCTCATTTCCCATCCCTACTGTACACTGCACACTTTTTTAAAATATATTATGTGAAACACTATACACTCACAAACAGTAGTATGCTACATTATATCAGTATGTGTATGTAACAGTTATTTTGCACATGTTTAATCCACTCTTGTTGGTTCAATCAAATTAAAGACAAGAGGTTTACAATCTTAACTCTCATTCTGCAAATGGAAGGTCAGTTTAAGCACATTGCATTATATACACAGCAAAAATGGATAATAGCATACTATGCACAGTATAAATGCTAGAACCTGCAGAGATAGTAGTATGGTAGTTATTCTGAACATACCCTTATTTTAAGTTTCTCTCCAAGGAAATAATGGGTTTTCTAGAACGCTGACATCCACATACAGCAGAAAGTACCAGTGATAAGTCAGCAAAACTGTAGCTATGCAGATGTGTATAAATCAACATAATAACAGCATTGTGCACCGCATGGCAATGGTCTGCTCTTATTTCCCTGTCATTAGAGATGACCACTCTTCTGCACTTTTAGCTGAGATAAAATATGTAATATAGGTTATGTTATATTTAGCTGCAGTCTTGTGAGACTTTCTGACCATTGAGGTTTATTTTTTTTGCAACAAGCTTCCTGAAAATTTTGCTAAATATTGTTTTCCTAATATAGAATGAATATAGTTTGGAAGCAGGAGTTTATAGCCTAGATCGTGATCAAACCTTCTGTTACAGTAGTTCAGGCAACAGCACGGTTTGCCGCAGTGGGGGAGAAAAAAGGCAGCTGTTGCCTAGCAACGGCCAGTGACCAGCCGTCACGAAGTGTTGTAAATTTCCTCGTGTTGCTAAAGTGTCAGATCGGAACACCACCTCGTGGCTACATTGAGAACAAGGGTCTGTTTTGAGACACAGTATTGTTTTAATGCTACGTGTTTGCTACATTCGGAGTGTTTCTCTGCCTGTTCGAGAAAACGGGTGTTATCGAGACCACAGATTCATTTGTTCGTCACTTCACTTGTTTTTCTCATGTCTGTAGAGATTCAGTCATCTCTGTGACAGCCCAAACCTCATTTTAATGTGCTCTCAGAATATTAACACTGCAGCATCCCATAATTCCCAGGATCTCAATATGAACTCAAACTTAAATTGAACTCAGACTAAATAATCTGAGCGATTTCACAACCATTCAAAGGTTTAAAGTCAGTACGATATTTTAATGTTTTTGAAAGTAGTCTCTTATACACATCAAGGCTGCATTTATTCAATCAAAAGTACAGTAATATTATGAAATTCTATTTTAATACATTTTAAATTGTAATTTATTCCTGTGATCAAATCAATCATTACTTCAGTCTTCAGTGTCACATGATCCTTCAGAAATCATTCTAATATCATGATTTGCTGCTCAAGAAACATTTCTTATTATTATCAATGTTGATTTTTTTTTAAATATATGTATATTTTTACATTATACATTTACAAGAATCCTTTGAAGAATAGAAAATGGATTTTTTTAAACTTTATAAATGTCTCTTTTGATCAAATGTATGCATCCTTCCTGAATATAATTAATAATTTATTTAGAAAAAATCTTATAACTTATATTATAAGAAATATATAAAACTTTTATATTATAAGGAACTTTTAATTATAAGAAATATATCAAACTTATCGCTTTTTACTTTTAATGTGTCAACGGTTGACTCATTTGTGTCTACTTTTTAGTTCTTGCTTGGGCTGTGCAAAGATTAATTGCGATTAATCGCATCCAAAATAAAAGTTTGTGTTTACATAATATATTTGTGTGTGCTGTGTATAATTATTTTGTATATATAAATAAATATGCATGCATGTATATTTAAGAATTATTTGCACGTAAATACTGTATAAATACTTCATCTATATTATATATAAATATAAATATTTATTAATAACACATTTTCTTAAATATATACATGCATGTGTGTGTATTTATATACACAAAATAATTATACACAGCACGCACAAATATATTATGTAAACACAAACTTTAATTTTGGATGCGATCAATCGCAATTAATCTTTGCACAGCCCTAGGTCTTAGACATTTTTAAGAGAAAAGTCTTAAATAAAATATTAGAGCTCCATTTTGTCTCCTGATTTAAGAAAGAGAAAACTTTGAGCCATAAAGCATCAAAGTCTAACATACTTTAACTTTAGTTGCTGTATCGTTGATTTAACCAGCATGAGTACGATTTCTGTTTAAATTCACTAATTAAGTTGAAACGTCAAGTCCCTTGAAGTTACAATTAGCCGATTAGCAAATAAAGTGTGTGAATGTGTGTGTGAAGAAGTACAGCAATCACAATATCCACAGTAGTGTAGATTCTGTGCAGGAGTCCAGATCGACCCATCACTGTCAGTGTTCACTCGATGAAGGGCTTGAGAATTACACTTCCAGTAACAGCCTCTCTGATTGGTCAGGCTCCTCGTTACTGGACATTACACTTGCTTCAGCCCTTTGTGGAGTGACCTGCGGTATGTTGTCCACATGTGCCGATGCTAACAGCTCCCTCTTGTGTCAGCCCGCAGCTTGCGTCTGAGCCCGTGGGAGAGCCGGATCGTGGAGCGGTTGATGACGCCCACTCTTTCCTTTCTGGCACGCAGCCGAAGCGTCGCCACCCTCCAGAACAGCAGCGACCCTCGTGAGTTACACAACACACACACACTTAACATGTCAGGAGCTTAAGGTAATGGTTATACATACCACATACTATGGCAAGTCGTTTTAACTTTTATTCATTTCCAGTATATGAATTCTTGAATGGAAATTGGATTCTCAATTGTATTTTTACTAGTGAAATGTCACCATAGGCTGCCATTCAAAACCAATTGTTGATATCAAGAATTGATTTCTTACTTGTTGAAATTCCAATTTCACATATTAGAAATACAATTATTACTAGTAAAAACCTTTATTTTTGATATCAAGAATTCAATTGTCACTAGTTGTAATGTCTATTCATCAGCAATTGAATTGCTACTAGTAACAATGTTCATTTTTGATATCAATAATTACATTTTTACTAGTGACAATGTTAGTTTATGATATCATGAATGTCAATAAAAGCCATTTTAGATATCTGAAATAATATTGATATCAGAAATACATTTTCAGATATCAAAAATGAACATTTTTATTTGTACCAATCGAATTGTTGATATCAATAATTTATATCCTGGAAATAAAAGCTAAAACAGCTTGCCATATACTACAGACACACACCCATGTAATGAGTAAAACACTCCTCATAAAAAAGCCTCATTGAGTGCAAACAAGCAATTGCTCTTATTTGCTGAAATCAAACAAGACAAATAAACTTCTTGCTTCCATTGATTGTAAATATTATTAACCTTAGTTCAATGTGAAGCAGTTTTCGTTTCGAAACGGTAACTATTTTATTCTGTTTGAGCTTAGTGTGTGTTTGTCTAATGCATACATTAAAATATATTTGTGCTTCTGATGGAATTGCATGTTTTTTTTTATTTTTTAAGATCTCAAATGAAAGTACACACATTTCAGACCATATCAGCCAATTAATATTTTATCTGCTGTTTTTCTCTTTGATGTTTGGAAATGAAATTCTGCCTGTACATTTTATTTACTTTACATAAAACAGTACGCACTTTTATGTTGAGTATACATTTTGAACAGAAGTTCCTTATTACTGGCGTGTTATTATATGGTTATTTAAATATGGTTATTTATTTTTTTCATCCAAATTTATAGTCCGTTGAGTCCATAATGGCTGTCCATTTAAAAATCCTAGTTTATTTTTCTGATTGGAATGCAAAGTCAAGTTGAGTGCATTGCATTGTGGGTATAATATCCTGTGCTTTGTTTATATACAGTACTGCATGCTTAGGAATCTCACCAACCCTAAACGTTTGAACAGTAGTGTATTATCTCAATTAAGTAT